GAAATTTTGCCAAGTTAGTGTTCTAGTATATGCCACACAGATACCAAAAAATAATTTAAATTCTTTAAATTTACTGAAAAATAGTTGGAAATTAAACTTGTGATGTGCGATTTTGTATCATCAGCTGCCTAGCACTTGCTATCCACTTCCACATTAACCAATCAGTGCACACTAGAAGCATGATTTTCATGTGTGGTGTGTAGTAATATAAATTATAGAATTCTTGAATGGTAAAAACTTGCCAAATAGTTTATTTATTTTGCAACTTTTTTGTCTCCTTTTTTTTTTTTAACATTAATTTTTTTTCCACCACTAGCTCCCACAGAGTTTGGATCTGCTTTTCACATTCTCTCCTGGCAATAGAATCCAAACTCCTTGAACTTTTGTACCTTAATCATGGTCAGAACACATACTGGAAAAAAATAGAGATTCCTTTTTTTGTTAGTTCCTGTATGCTTTTAGATGATTCACACTTGAACTATATTCTATACTACCTCAGTCGAGCAATCCCTTCACTTTGATTGCCGGCATTGTCTCAAAACCCATGCACTAAAGACTTCCTACATGACAGGTGCACACCACAGTTTTTGCACATTCAGTAGAAAATTGACACATGTTACTCAGCCATGCACAGATGAAACACTAATAGTCAGTTCATGGGCATCCTGGTCCTCCTCAGTCTCTTCACTTTGTGAGGATGATTCCTTGTATTTGTAGGAGGATGCAATGAACAGAAACAACAAGAAATTAAGTGTCATCAAACTAGCCATCATGAAGAAGAAGTACTCCATATGACCTTGATTGGGATCCTTCTCAGGGTACCAATCGCTGCTGACAATAGCAACTACAAAGTTTGCAATATAGCTTCCTATGCCAGAGGCTGATAGAAAAAGGGCCATGATCACTCCTTTAAGGTATTCAGGAGCCTGTGAATATGCAAATTCTAGACCTGCAGATACAAAGAGACAGAAAAAAAAATCACTGTGGATTTCTACAAATTCCCCTCAAGGAAAACATTGAAATTTCTCATGTAGAGAAGGCTGGGGATGTAATACACAGGTGAGACAATTTTTTCTGAAAAAGGTTCCTGAACTGACTATTAGTAACCATGTGTTACTCCTTCCCTTACCCATCATGTCTCCTGAAACATTGCATAAAATGGTCAAATCATAATGAAGAGAAGGAGGCTAGGTTAACATTTTCAAGGGCTTAGGGCAGCAGTGTCAAGAAACTAAAA